GCAAACACACTCACTCACCCACACACACACACACACACACACACACACGCAAACACACATTCACTCACACGCGCACGCACTCACACGCAAACACACTCACTCACCCACACACACATTCACGCACACGCACACAAAAACACGCACAGACATGCACAGACACGCTCACACACACACACGCGTGTAATAATCAGACTGATGGATGTGCTCTGTTCTCGTGTGATCGTGTGTTTGTAGAATGTGATGGTCATTCCGTCTGTTCCGTCTGGTTCCAGGTTTCATTTCCCGGGCCGCTGTGCAGAGACTCTTCCTGCGGCTCTGGCCCGACACGAGTCTGAAATCATCTGACGCTCAGAGCCCTGGATCAACTGCAGCTGAACCTGAATTAAAACCGTGCGTACAATAGTAGAACAAATTCATTCCTCTGCTTTTGAAATATGAATTGCTGTATATAAACTGGAAATGGGCCAAAGTATAATCACACAGACGCTGATGTTGCTGGAGTGTATAGTTGTGCTGTTGACAGTTTTCCGTGTGCCTTAACTTTCTCAAAGAGTTCCATACATAAATCTCTGCCAGTGCATGTTCCTTCAGCTCATCTGCTTGATTAGTGTGGGATAAAGCAACATGATATCCCAGTTTACAAAGAGAAGTGCCTGCCGTGTGTTCATGTGTGTTTCATCTTTCCTCTGACGCTCTGCTAGAGGGCCAGCAGTGACCTCCAGCAGCGTTTGCCTTCATATCAGTCCATCAGTTTCAGCATTACATACTAATGAATAAAAGCGTTTCTCACAGACTGTCTGGATTAATAATGTTCCGTCAGTGTTGTATCTGTGGCTTCTCCTGCACATTTATAAAATATATAAAACAGCTTTCATTCTCATTAACATTTTTCATATACAAATCAGCATATTAGAATGATTTCTGAAGATCATGTGACACTGAAGACTGGAGTAATGCTGAAAATACAGCTGCGCATCACAGAAATACATTACAGTTTAACATATACTCATAGAAAACGGCTGTTTTAAATCGCAATAATATTTCTGTATTTGGTAACACTTCAGAATATGGAACCCTATTCACTGTTAACTATTTGCTTATTAGCATGCATATTACTAACATATTGGCTGTTTGTTAGTACTTATAAAGCACATATCAATGGCTTATTCTGCATGACCATATAAACATTATTACAACTTACTATCAGTAAGCAGTAATCAGGAGTTTACTGAGGGAAAAAATAGTAGTTAATAGTGAAAATGTTTTCTTAATCTAAAGTGTTACCTACTATTTTTGCTGTAGTTTTGATCAAATAAATGCAGCATTAATTGGTGAGCAGAAGAGACCGCTTTCAAACACAATGAAAAACATGACCAACCCCAAACTTTTAAATAGTCCTCCAGTGAGACACATGAATTTATAAAAGTACATATATCCCATGTGTCTCAATCAATAATGTGTTCATCTAGTTTTAGCTTTCATGTGAAATCATCATGAATGATCAGTTGACTTTAGTCACTTTTGTAAATGTCATTCACACAAAGTGTCTCAAATGCTTTTCTTCACTTTATTTTTTTATTTTTATTGATTTAAACTGATGCTGTTTTAAATAAGCAAGCAGTGCATGGACGGGATGATTTTAATGACAGCTGAAATGACGTCCTGATGTCCTGCAGACATGTTTTCTCTTGTTTTTGGGGTTCAGTGTGTTTCTTTGCACTGATGCTGTAAATGAGGCTCACGTCTGTCAAAGGGGCTTTACTGTCAGAGTAGAGTTTGTAGATGCTATTTATAGCAACCATTAATCCGCCTGTATCGCAATGATTCACTGCAGCACTGGCTGATTTCACACACACACACACAAACACACAC